CTTATATAAGACTTTGATTCTGTGCATGCGGGCTCTTAAGCAGTTATAGAAATGCTGCTAAGTCTCAGTTCCCAGGATATCCAGGTGATGGAGCCTGACTGACTCCATTTCCCCTACAGTGATAAATCTTGTTGTTTTTAAAGATTTTATTTATCTTTAGATAGAGGGGAAGAAGAATGTTACCCTCTCTTCTTTAGATAGAGGGGAAGAATGTCTCCCTCTCTATCTAAAGAAGAGAAACATCAATGTGTGGTTGCTTCTCACACACTCCCACTGGGGACCTGGCCCACAACCTAGGCCCTGACTGGGAATTGAACCGGGAACCCTTTGGTTCACATTCTGGTGTTCAATCCACTGAGGCACACCATCCATGGCTGTTTTTTGTTTTAAATATATTGATTTTAGAAAGCAAGGGGGGTGGGAGAGAGAAAGAACACTGACGTGTTTTTTCATTTATTTATATATTCATGGGTTGATTTTTGTATGTGCCCTCAACAAGGCTGGAACCTGCAATCTTGGTGTAGGGACTTTTGTCTTTTAAATTCCACATATAAGTTATCAGCCTACTGAAAGGCAAAGTAATTAGGAAAGAAGTTCTCATAAAAAGGTGAGATTCATTTTTTCACTATTTCCATATATTTCCTTAAAACAACTTTCAAAATTTTGTTTATGAGCATTAGTAGAGAAGGAACAGATTTGAGGAAACAACTTGCATTAGAAAAATTAAATTCAGAGATGTGTAGAAAGTGATATACAACTTTAGACTTCAGAAATTTAGGGACGAAATTTTGATTGATAGTCACCGGTTACCATTGCTACTCTTGTAAACAGTGTTAATCTTGCCAACACCCTCCGATTTCAACGCCCTACAGGACATTTGTCTTGGGAGCTAAGACCTGTGCTATAGCCGCTAAGTACATGCAAATACTTAAAATTTTAATGATAAAAACCTTTTTAACACAGTTCCTGTCATGCTAGCCTCAAGTGCTCAACAGTTACATGTGGCTATCAGGTACCTTATTGAGCAGCACAGATACAGAACATTCATCCCTTACAGAAAGTTCTGTTGGGCAGCTTTGCCTTGTCTTTCAAAATTTCCAAGTATCTTCTGAGCTGTTTCTCCACAACCTCAACTCTATCTCATTTTATAATTTCAGGTACATTCTTGATCTCCTTGCAGCTCCCCATTGATCCTTCTGAAAATGGAGCTGTTTCTACTTAACATTTACTAGTAAGACGCACCACATAACTCATGTCTGAATGTTACTCCATGTTTGGTGACATTCAGCAGACCTGCCTCAACTCTACTGTCACCATTCTGCCCATTTAGTTCCAAACTGCCCTCCCACTGATGATGAAGAGACCAAGTGTCACATGCAGACATACTGGTGATCAAAATCTACTTTGGGCCTACAATCTATCTAGGCCCTTTTTGCATCATGGGGTGGCATACAGGTATTTTGTCCAATCAGAGCTCTTTACAGCAACTTGAGGGCAGTGACCACATGTATTTCATTTTTCACAAGTGTCATTTTATTTATTTAAAAATATATTTTGATTATGCTATTACAGTTGCCCCACCACCCCCCTTCATTCCCCACCACCCTGCACACCCTCTCCCACCCACATTCCCCCTCTTTAGTTCATGTCCATGTGTCATAAGTACTTTAGCTTCCACATTTCCCGTACTATTCTTGCCCTCCCCCTATTTTCTACCTACTATCTATGCTACTTATTCTCCATACCTTTCGCCCCTCTCTGCTCCTCCCACTCCCCTGTTGATAACCCTCCATGTGATCTCCATTTCTGAGGTTCTGTTCCTGTTCTAGTTGTTTTGCTTAGTTTTTTGTTTTTTGTTTTAGGTGTGGTTGTTAATGATTGTGAGTTTGCTGTCATTTTACTATACATATTTTTTTACCTTCTTTTTTCTTAGATAAGTCCCTTTAACATTTCATATAAGGGTTTGGTGATGATGAACTCCTTTAACCTGACCTTTTCTGGGAAGCACTTTATCTGCCCTTCCATTCTAAATGAAAGCTTTGCTGGATAGAGCAATCTTGGATGTAGGTCCTTGCCTTTCATGACTTGGAATACTTCTTTCCAGCCCCTTTTTGCCTGTAAGGTTTGTTTTGAGAAATCAGTTGACAGTCTGATGGGAACTCCTTTGTAGGTTACTGTCCCCTTATCTCTTGCTGCTTCTAGAATTCTCTCCTTCATTTTTATCTTGGCTAATGTAATTATGATGTGCCTTGGTGTGTTCCTCCTTGGGTCCAACTTCTTTGGGATGCTCTGAGCTTCCTGGACTTCCTGGAAGTCTATTTCCTTTGCCAGATTGGGGAAGCTCTCCTTTATTATTTGTTCAAGTAAGTTTTCCACTTGTTGCTCTTCCTCTTCCCCTTCTGGTAGCCCTATAATTCAAATGTTGAAACATTTAAAGATGTCCTGGAGGTTCCTAAGCCTCTCTTCATTTTTTTGAATTCTTGTTTCTTCCTTCCTTCCTGATTGGATGTTTCTTTCTTCCTTCTGGTCCACTCCATTGATTTGAGTCCCAGTTTCCTTCCCATCACTATTGGTTCCCTTTTCATTTCCCTTTATTTCATTTAGTGTACCCTTCATTTTTTTCATCTAATTTGTGACCAAATTCAACCCATTCTGTGAGCATCCTGATCACCAGTGCTTTGAACTTTGCATCTGATAGGTTGGCTATCTCTTGGATGCTTAGTTATATTTTCTGTGGAGCTTCGATCTGTTCTTCTGTTTGGACCATTTTTTTTTGTTTTGTTTTGTCGCACCTGTTATGTAGAGGGGTGGAGCCTTAGGTGTTCACCAGGGTGGGGTAACCCAGTTGCTGGGTTGTGACGCAGTAGGTGGGGTCAGGGTTCAGGATAATGGCACTTGCTCCACTCTCCGTCCTACTTCAGTCCCTTCCACCACTTCCCCCAAGAAAATTGGGCCTTTCTGGTGCCGATTCCCATGTGGGTGGGTTTGTGTATGTTCCACGACCCTGTGGGTCTCTCCAACAAACAATCCTGTGAGGCTGCAAGTCTCTCCCTGTGCCTCAACCCCCACAGGTCTTTTCAATCAGTGCCCTGAAGCTCTATTTCCCGGCATTGGACCAAGGGTTGCATGCAGTGCCTCACTTCACAATCACCGCCTTGCTGGGTCTGCCAGTTGCCACCCTGCACCCAGGGCCTACCAGCTGCTGCTTGCATGCCCAGGGTCCACCCCCGGTGGTCTTGCAAGCCTGGGATGCACCAGTCCCATCACTCTTTGTGTCAGGACCCCTCTCCACCCAGCTGCCCCTCCTACCCGTCTGGATGAATGTGTCTATTTTAACTCCTTGGTTGTCTGACTTCTATACAGTTCGATTTTCCGTCAATTCTGGTTGTTATTCTGTTTCTAAATTGTTGTTGTCCCTATCTTGGTTGTGCAAAGAGGCACAGTGTGTCTACCTATGCTTCCATCTTGGCCGGAATTCCACAAGTGTCATTTTAAATCCTTGGTGGTAACTGCTTTTATATAATACTAAATTATACCAACATGGGAACTGAATTTCAGCCCCAAACTCTCCCCAGGGGATATTTGAATATGAACTAAATATTAAATATCTGAAACTTCTAATCAGTGTTCCTAAGTCCAATACTGCTTACAGAAGGAAGTCATTTAGGAAAAACACATTTAACTATTTCAATGAAGTGTCATGTGTTTTCAAATGCTTTGTAGCAAAAATATATTAGATAAAGCAAATATTGTTATATTAAATGTAGTTGATGAACATATAGATGATCAATGTGCTAGTCTTTCAGCTTTTCTGTATACTTAAATTTTTTATAATAAAAACTTGAAAAAATATGTATCACATTTATCTATTCAGTTTGTGAGCATTTGGATTATTTCTGACTATGAGTAATACAACATTAATTAGTCACATACAAATCTTTATGTAGGCTTTGATGGTTTTAAACATAAACTGAAATCAATGTTTAAAAAAATGACTTGTGCTCAGGTCCCTCCAGTAATGCTATGTTTTGAGTCTCAAGTTTAATTAATTTCAATAAAACCAGAATGACTAAGAATTTTTAAAAAAGCTTCTTCTGGTAGCTTTCGGGTGAAGTGAGGGTTTGACAGCGTATCTTTTTGTTTTGTTTCAATGTGCCCCTTAATTCTGCTTTTGCAAACATAGTACAGTAGGCCTAACAGTGTTTCACACATGATTAGAGAATCTGATGATGAAACAGAGAGTTGGCCAGGACTGCAGAGAACAATGCCCAGCAGAATATGTTCATGAGGTTTTGAATCTAGAACATAGCATGAGGTAGCTTTTACAAGTATTTCCTAGTATGAGTTATTTTTAAAAATCTGCTTCTAATGATCTTACTACCATTAATTAATGCCTATTTTCCTGGCACTTTCCATACTTTCCCACCTTCATAGAGCTCACAGACTCTTGGCACACCAAGGGCACAGCAGTGAAGACAGTGGCACTATGCTGCTCTTGCCAGATAGTACCTGGGCTGTAATACAAGTCTGCTTTCCAGATCTGCTCTTTCTGGTCTACTGCTTGGTGCCTACCTGCACATGTAACTGCCTCAATTAAAAGATAATTCTGGAGACTTAAGGAATAAGCAATTTTGTTTGTGTTCATAGACTGATACCATCACCAGTTAATATGCTACCAAAGTCTTGTACTAACTTCTATGAAGCAAGCTTATTTATTACCTATGTATACATGTTCATCTACAGAGCACAATACTTAACATTTATTGGAACATAATATATGTCAGATACCAATAGGCTTTTAATATTTTCTCAATCTTCTCAAAATTATAGAGGAGAAAATTAATAGTATCTAATAGTATGTGGATAATACTGAGAACACTGATGGGTCTCAAAGAAGTTATCCAAGGATGAACACATTATTTACTTCAATTTTTCTTAAATTGAGGAATACCTTTCATTTCCTTTAAATATTAAATAAGAATACTGGTGACAAAACCATGTCATTTCAGAAATTGAAAGAATTTATAAAAATAGGAATATTTTATTTTTGCTTTAGCAACTAACACAAAATCACCTTGACCTTTACAGCCAACGTTTTTCCTCAACCTTTTCCTTGGATCATGAATTCATTTGGAACAAGTGCAAAACAAAACAAAACAAAACAAAAAAAGAAAGAAAAAAAGAATTCCAAATTGTGGAAAAAAACAGGTATATTTCCCTTCATAAAGATAAAAGTTAGAATGTTCAGCTATTAAAATGTTTTCTCCAACTTGTATCAGATTGATTGACTTCACTGTACTGACTGAGGAATGGGCAGGCTCCCTCCTTCCAAATTACTCCCATCTGATAACACTTGTTGCCAAGTAGCAAGCCAGAGGTTTGGATGGGATGCTACCTAAAAGGGCACTTCAAAGTGTTCAGACCTTCACATCTGGCAGATGAAGGAAAAAAAAATCTAAATTTGGGAATGATAAAGTAAGTACTTTAGGATCACTTACTCTAAAACTACATTCCGCAACAGTAAGAAAAAAGGAAAAATACCTGTCTACCTCAAGGCTTCAGTCCCACAATACTTAGCACAGTTATCCTCAGTTGTGACTGTTTTCCATTGTGAGCTTCTTCCGGTCTCCTGTGTTAAGCCCAATAATGTCAAGGCTCTGGCGTGGTCATTAACACTACTACCATCCTATCTTCAAGAATTTCACACAATGTACAGGTCTTGTTTAATTCTTCCTTTTGCATTTAGGTAAGATTGTTCCCCATACCAGTTTTGTATGTTCTAGTATAGTTTCATAAACTAGAAACACATTGAAATCAAAGCATAAAATATTAGAAATAAAAAATAACACAGGGGCCAAAAACTACAGCTTATATGCTTATCACCCCACCCCGACGTTTCCAGAGGAAAGCTCAGGAAGCCACAAGCAGCCACTGCAAGTCCTCTCCAAGATTACATGGTCATTATGATTTAACAGTCAAGTCTCAAATAACAACCCAGACCAAGACAAAGCTGGGTGGTTGTATCCAAAAGCCCAAATGCCTTCTATGATAGAATTTCTGTGCAAGTTGGTCCCAGATCCTGGGGGACAGTGGTGCCATGCTGGGGATGTGGTTCCCTAAGTAGTAATGTTTGGAGATTAATATTGAAAGCTGCGCTTGGTCTGGATATCATCAAGAATCTGCTGCAGTTCCTCATCTTCAAACCGCCCCTCCAGGCTACAAGAAGAAAACCAAAAGAAGCAAGTCTCTTAGCAATTGACAATGTTCCCCACACTTATCTTTAATGTATAGCAATATTTGAGCACCAGTTGCCCCACCTCTCCATTTACCCCTAAACACTGATACTTTTACCTTTCAACTATATTTATTCCTTGCCTTTCCTTTTAAAAACATCATGAAGTATTTCAAACATACAAAAGGTATAGAAAATAAGTTAACCTTAACAGTAATCCCTACTTGATTTAGATTTAATGAGCATATCAGGAACAACCCAATGACCGTGCATACTCCCTATCCCAACACCTTCACCTCTCTTCCCCAGAAGTAACCATTATCCTAAGTTTGGTACTTATCATTCCTATGCATATTTTTATACTTATTATATATGTGTAAAATATATCTATAAGCAATATGCAGGACTGTTTTTAAACTTTATAAGAAATGGCATCATACTGTATCTTTTTGCAATTTGTTTTGGAAATTCACCCCAGCCTTTGTTGACATTATTCCATGCTGTTCTAGCTCACTGACTTTTTCATTGCTATACAATAAATACCGTATGGTCATATAATGGTTTATTTGTCCAGTCTCTTGTTGACTGACAGATTGTTGTCATGTTTTTGCTATCACTAACAATGCAGCAGTGGACAATGGAATATATATCTCCTTTTAAAGTACATGAATGGGCCCTAGTTGGTGTGGCTCAGTGGACCGAGCACTGGCCTGTGAACTAAAAGGTCGCTTGTTCAATTCCCAGTCAGGGCACATGCCGAGGTTGCAGGCGAGGTCCCTGGGAAGCAACTGATCAATGTTTCTCTCATCACATTGATGTTCCCTTCTCTTTGTCCCTATCTTCTCCTCTCTCTAAAAACAAATAAATAAAATCCTTAAAAAAAAAAAGTATATGAACCCTGGCTGGTGTAGTACAGTAGATTGAGTGCTAGCCTGAGAATCAAGAGGTAGCCAGATCAATTCCCAATCAGAGCACATGCCTGAGTTGCAGGCCAGGTCCCCAGTGGAGGCATACAAGAAACAGTCAATTGATGCTTCTCCCACTCTCTTCCCATATCTTTGAAAATAAATAAATAAAATCTTTAGGAAAAGAGTAGCTCTTAGAGCATATATCCAGAAGGACATTTTTGGGTCATTGGGTATATTCATCTTTAACCTCATTAGATGCCAATTAGCCAAATTGGTCTCCAAACTGTATTAATGTGCACCCCTACCATCAGTGTATGAGAGTTTTAGCTGTTCCACATTTTTGGTAAGAATTGATATGCTACAAAATCATCATTCTCACATTGTTAAAAAAGGTCCTCTCATTCAATGTTTTATCTATCCAGATTTTAAATGCAAACACTTTTTTTGCACAATAATTCTACTTGTAGGAATATATCCAATACAGAGAATTTAACATAACTCATACTAACCTTGGGATCAGAGCCTTGGATTCCTCAGCAGTCTCTGGACAAAGGTTGGCCAAACAGGCCAACTCAAACTTATGAAGCTTCTTCTGAAGCAACAAGCTAATCATCAGGAAGACATTTAAAAGAAAACAAAATCAAAGGTTCATGAATAGGAAAAATGGAATCAAATGTAGCAAGAGAAAAAGTAAAGTACTTGCAACCTTTCTATTATGGTTAGGGTGGCTGTAAAATCCCACTTTCAAATCACTCCCCATTCCTATTCCTGGAGACAGGAAGTTACAACAAAATCAGGTGGAGACAATTAAAGTGAAGACAGCACATTTAGGCAGAGAAGACCTACTACTGTAACTTCTGAAAAACCACAAAATGCCTCAAGGACTAACACAACCTTTCTCCTAGGAATTTATTTTGTTGCTCTCTGCTCTTCCTAACACTCTTCCTTGCTTCCTTTGTTATTAATTGTATGTCAAACACATATGTTAGATGCCCCAATCTATTAGATATTTAACCTGGAGGAAGTTTTTAAAAATTTATTTTAAAAATAAATAAATAAGCGAAGGCATACTCTACTTTGTACAAATAAGTTGTAAACCACACCTTATTTTAAATGACAAACTGTATAAAAGAACAATGTTACCCAGGCTGGTGTGGCTCAGTGGATTGAGTCCCGGCCTGCAAACCAGTTTCTGGTGTGGTTGCTGGTTCAATTCCCAGTCAGGGCACATGCCTGGGTTGCAGGCTAGGTACCCAGTAGGGGGCATGTGAGAGGCAACCACACACTGCTGTTTCTCTCCCCCTCTTTCTGCCTCCTTTCCCCCCTCTCTAAAAATAAATAAATAAAATCTTAAAAAGTAAACAAATTTATTAAAATAAAAGGACATCAATGCAAATCATATCTTGGATTTATACCCCTCTGCCTCTAAAACAGCACTCATCAATGGTAAATGTGGTTTCAGAGAAAATCTTACCTCTTCAGAAACAAAACATTTACTGTACTTATCACTCTATTACAAGCATGTATGTTAATGTACAAAATATAGAAAATAAAGGCAAAAAGGAAACCTACCTATGTTACCACCTAAACGAAATCAATATATCATCTTAGTATATCATTCTAAACATCTTTACATGGTTTAGAATATAAACTCAAACATTCTGTTTTGTAACTCTTTGTTACTTGATGCTATATTAATTTTGTAAAGAACATACAGTAATCTTAGTTACATGGGAAGAGGTTCAGAATGTTGTAAATTGAGCACTCACTTATTTACAAATACCAAAAAGTATTAATAAGGTGAAAAGAACCTGAAATCCTACAGAAATAACCTGTATTAACATTTTCATGGAGGTCCCCTACCATCCCTTTATTTATATATATATATTAGATGAATGGAATCATAACAAAATGTTCCTCTAAAACTGGCCATTTTCACTCAACAGAGTAACTGTTTTCCATATTAGTACCCAAATAATTACCTCAAACAACACATTCCACTCAAGTTGTGCCTTAATTTATACATCAAGTTTCCTGTTGTTGAACATGTCAGTTTTTGCAATGCTTTTTGAACATCATTATAAATTCATACTTCTTAGTGCACTTGAGTACTGTGTGGTTTAAAAATAAATTCCTGAAAGTAGAATTATTCAAAGGACATGACTGTCTGGAAAGCTTCTGAGAAGACAGTGTCCTAAAAGGGATTTACCAGAGAATACTTTTATCAGCAATAAATACAGTGCCTATTTCCCCTTCTTGTTACACTAGGTTTCCCATTCTTTTTAATCTTTAAAATCTACTTAGCTGTTTTACAATCTCTTTGATTTCCTTGAAGATGACCATTATTTCATGTGAATGAGAAGTTTGAAATTCTGATATAAATCAAGCCATTAGAGACTAAGCTTTTACAAAGTGGGTATCATCTAAGGATATCAATCCTTTCCCAGTTTGTTCATACTTCTATTTTATGCATTTGTAAAAGGAAAATTTAAAGATATTTATGCAAATTCATTTACTTATTCAACTAATTATTTAATGTGTACAATGATGAATATGACCAAGTCCCTGCCTTCACAAAAACTTACATTCAACTAGAGTCAATTGTTTCTCCACATTTAAAGTCTTGCTAACCAGCCCTGACTAGTGTGGCTCAATTGGTTGGAGCATCATCCCACAAAGAGGAAGAAGGGAGCTAATTAAATTCCTGGTCAGGGCACATGCCTGGGTTGTTGTTCAGTCTCCAGTTGGGACATGGTTGAGAGGCAACCGATTGATGTTTCTATCTCACATCAATATTTTTTTCCCTCTCTTTCTCCCACTCTTCCTCCTTCTATATAAATAAAACATTTTAAGAAAAAAGTCTTGCTAATCATAGACAATATATACATTCACTCCTATTATCACACAGCACTTTTATGCATCATAATTTACATTTAAATCCTTAATTTCTTAGGAATTCAGAGTTTGTTGTAAAATATTTCCCCACTAATTTACAGTGCCATATATTAGACTCATATAAAATATAATACATTTCTATTTGAATCTGTTTCTGAATTTTCTTTTTTAATATATTTTGATTATGTATTGCAGTTGTCCCATTTCCCCCCTTCACTCCCTTCCACCCTGCACACCCTCTCTCACCCACATTCCCCACCTAGTTCATGTTCATGGGTTGTACATATAAGTTCTTTGGCGTCTACATTTCCCACACTATTCTTACCCCCTCCCCCCATCTATTTTCTACCTACCATCTATGCTACTTATTCTCCATACCTTCCCCCCCCTCTGCTCCTCCCACTCCCCTGTTGATAACCTTCCATGTGATCTCCATTTCTGAGGTTCTGTTCCTGTTCTAGTTGTTTTGCTTAGTTTTTGTTTTTGTTTTAGGTGTGGTTGTTAATGATTGTGAGTTTGCTGTCATTTTACTATACATATTTTTTACCTTCTTTTTCTTAGATAAGTCCCTTTAACATTTCATATAAGGGTTTGGTGATGATGAACTCCTTTAACCTGACCTTTTCTGGGAAGCACTTTATCTGCCCTTCCATTCTAAATGAAAGCTTTGCTGGATAGAGCAATCTTGGATGTAGGTCCTTGCCTTTCATGACTTGGAATACTTCTTTCCAGCTCCTTTTTGCCTGTAAGGTTTGTTTTGAGAAATCAGTTGACAGTCTGATGGGAACTCCTTTGTAGGTTACTGTCCCCTTATCTCTTGCTGCTTCTAGAATTCTCTCCTTCTCTTTAATCTTGGGTAAGGTAATTATGATGTGCCTTGGTGTGTTCCTCCTTGGGTCCAACTTCTTTGGGATGCTCTGAGCTTCCTGGACTTCCTGGAAGTCTATTTCCTTTGCCAGATTGGGGAAGTTCTCCTTTATTATTTGTTCAAGTAAGTTTTCCACTTGTTGCTCTTCCTCTTCCCCTTCTGGTAGCCCTATGATTCTGATGTTGGAACGTTTAAAGATGTCCTGGAGGTTCTTAAGCCTCTCCTCATTTTTTTGAATTCTTGTTTCTTCCTTCTTTTCTGATTGGATGTTTCTTTCTCCCTTCTGGGCCACTCCATTGCTTTGAGTCCCAGTTTCCTTCCCATCACTATTGGTTCCCTGTTCATTTCCCTTCATTTCACTTAGTGTATCCTTCATTTTTTTCATCTAATTTGTGACCAAATTCAACCAATTCTGTATCTTGATTACCAGTGTTTTGAACTGTGCATCTGATAGGTTGGCTACCTCTTTGTCGCTTTGTATTTTTTCTGGAGCTTTGATCTGTTCTTTCGTTTGGGCCATTTTTATTGTCTTGTTGCACCTGTTAAGTAGTGAGGGGCGGAGTCTTAGATGTTCACCAGGGTGGGGCAACTCAGTTGCCAGGTTGTGAGACTGCATGTGGGGCAGGAGTCTGAGAGGGAACAGTAACACTTGCTCTGCTCTCTGCCAGATTTCAAGTACTTCTCCCAAGCAAATTGGGCCCTTCTGGTGCTGATTCCCATGTGGGTGGGTTTGTGTATGTTCTACGACCCTGTGGGTCTCTCCAATGAACTCTCCTGTGAGGCTGGAAGTTTCTCCTGGTACCTCAACCCCACAGGTGTTTTCAATTGGTGTTTTGAGGCTGTTTCCCCATGCTGGGACCCTGGGTTGTGTGGTCTATCTTGCTCCCCAGTTTCACCTGGTTTATCTGTGAGGGAATGTGGGACCGCCTGGCCTGCCAGCTCCCTTGTGTACTGTGCCCCTTCACAGTCCGCCGCACTGGGTCCACCAGCTGCTGCCTTGCAGTGATCCCTCTCCACCTGGCCACCTGACTTCGCCCCTCCTACTGGTGTGGATGAATGTGTGTACTTTAACTCCTTGGTTGTTGGCCTTCCATACAGTTCCATTTTCTGTCAGTCATGGTTGTTTGTTTCTAAATTGTTGTCCTTATTTTGGTTGTGTGAGGAGGCACAGTGTGTCTACCTATGCCTCCATCTTGGCTGGAAGTCTGCTTCTGAATTTTCTATTCTGTTTCAATGATCTGTGTATTCTCATGCCAAAGTGTCACTATTTTAAGTACTGACACTTTTTAATGTCTTTTAATATCTTTCAGGGCAAATTCCCCTTTATTTTTCTTTAAAAATTTTTTTGAAAATTCTTACAAACTTAAAATCATTTTATTCAGTGACCCATTTCTTTTGAGGATTTAGACTGGCAAATGTATACATTAATTTGAGGCAAAATGACATTTTTACAGTATGAAGACCTTTCATTGCTAAATATGTAAGTCTACCTTCATTCATTCAAATAATTTTTTAGGCTCAAGAATTTGTAGTTTTGTATGGAAGCTTCCCACACAGTTCTTTCCAATCTTTTCTTTCTGAATACATACACGTTTGTTAGAACAGACTATACTTCATATATAGTTCTATCACCTTCATTTTTTGTACAGTTAATATATGTAAGCATCTTTTTTTTTAAGATTTTATTTATTTTTAGAGAAGGAAGGGAGGGAGATAGAGAGAAACATCAATGTGCGGTTGCTGGGGGTCATGGCCTGCAACCCAGGCATATACCCTGACTGGGAATCAAACCTGCGACACTTTGGTTCTCAGCCTGTGCTCAATCCACTGAGCTATGCCAGCCAGGGCTAGTATCTTTCTTTTTTTAATCATTTTTTAATTTTAATTGTTGTTCAAGTACAGTTTTCTGCCTTTTACCCCCAAGAACACCTTTCTTTTTTTTAATAGTTTTTTTCCTATTACCATTTATCCCCCTTATACCCTCTTCCACCTCCACACACTCATGAACATCTCTCAGTTTCATTTTCTTTATTTTTATTAAGCATATTTTATTGATTATGCTATTATAGATGTCCCATTTTTTCCCAACTTTTGCCCCCCTCCTCCCAGTACCCCTATTTCCTCCAGCAATTCCCCTCCCCTTAGTTCATGTCCATGGGTCATACATATCAGTTCTTTGGCTTTTCCACCTCCCATAGTATTCCCAACATCCTCTGTCTATTCTGTACCCACCAACCATGCTTTTTTTATTTTTAATTTTTAGAGAGAGAGGGAGGGAAAAAGAGAGGGAGAGAAACATCAAAGTGTGGTTGCCTATAATATACCCCCTACTGGGGACCTGGCCTGCAACCCAGGCAATGTGTCTTGACTGGGAATTGAACTAGCAGCCCTTTGGTTCACAGGCTGGCACTCAACTCACTGAGCCACACCAGCCAGGGCCCACCAACTATGCTTCTTATTCCCTGTACCTTTTCCACCATTTTCTCCCCTCCCACTACCTGTTAACAAAGCTCCATGCGATTTTCATCTCTACGACTCTGCTCCTGTTCTAGTTACTAGCCCAGTTTGTTTTTGTTGTTTTTAGATTCTGTTGTTGGTTTAAGTTTGTTGTCATTTTACTGTTCACAGTTTTGATTTTCTTTTTCTTAGATAAGTTCCTTCAATGTTTCCTACAACAAGGGCTTGGTGATGATGACTCCTTTGGCTTTACCTTGTCTGGGAAGCTTTACCTGACCTTCCATTCTAAATGACGGTTTTGCTAGGTAGAGTAATCTTGTATGTAGGTCCTTGCTTTTCATCACTTTGGATACTTCTTGCCAGTCCCTTCTTGCCTGCAAGGTTTCTTTTGAGTAATCAGCTGATAGTCTAATGGGAACTCTTTTGTAGGTAACTCTCTCCTTTTCTGTTACTGCTTTTAAGAGTCTCTATCTTTAGAGATTTAGAGATAAAGGTAGAGCCCTCTTTGGGTTCAGTATGTTTGGGACCCTCTGAGCTTCCTGGACTTGTATGTCTATTTCTATTGACAAATCAGGGAAGTTTTCTTTCATTATTATTTCAAATAAGTTTTCAATTTCTTGTTCTTCCTCTTCTCCTTCTGGCACCCCTATGATTCAGATGTTGGAGTATTTACAGTTGTCCCGGAGGTTCCTAAGCCTCTCCTCATTTTTTAAAATTCTTGTTTCTTCCTGTTGTTCCAGTTGGATATTTGTTTCCTTTTGTTCCAAATTGTTGGTTTGAATCCTGGCTTCACTCCCTTGACTGTTGGTTCCCTGTACATTTTCCTTTATTTCACTTTGTATAGCCTTCACTTCTTCCTTTATCTTATGGCTGCACTCAGTTGTTTCTTTGAGCATCCTGATCACCAGTGCCTCGAACTCTGCATCTGATAGGCTGCTTATCTCTGATTTGCTTAGTTCTTGTTCTGTTTTGATCTATTTCATTTGGGCCTTATCTCCCTGTCTCTTCATTTTGGCAGCTTCCTTGTGTTTCTGTGTATTAGACAGAGTTGCTTTGATTCCCATAATTGGTGCACCTGTTATGTTGTAAGGAGCAGAGGCCTTGGGTATTTGCCAGGGTGGGGAAGCCCACTTTGCTGCTTTGTGGTGCTGTATGTGGGGGAGGAGTGAAAGGGAACAATGCTACTTGCTAGTTCTCAACCCATTCCCAGTCACTTCCCCTACTTCCCATAAGTGTCTGGCGCCCTTCTAGTTGCTGCCCTGCTGCTGATTCCCAGAGTGGGTCTGCAGATGTTCTAAGGCCCTGTGGGCTCTTTAAACAGACTCTCAAGAGAGACTGGCAGTTGCTTCAGTCTCGCCAGCTCCCACAGGTTTATAGGTTATGAGGCTTTATTCTCCTGTTGCTGGACCCTGGGCTGCATGGTATGGCCTGGAACTACGATCACTCGCTCCTCAGTTGTCCCTCCAGGTTTTTATCTCCTGCACCTTAATGTGGGACTGTCCCATCCTTGGGCCACTGCCCCCACCTGCTACCCTGCCACTGCCTCGCAGTGTTACACTGTGTCCTCTCCACCCCTCCTACCCTTCTGGGTGAATATTTCCTGTTTAAATCCTTGATTGTCAGACTTCCACACAGTTCAATTTTCTGGCAGTTCTGGTTGTTTTTTGTTTTTAGATTGGTTGTTATCTTTCTTATGGTTGGGTGAGGCAGTGAAGCAAATCTAGTACGTCTCCATCTTTGCTAGAGGTTCTCAATTTTATTTTCTAACACAGGTTTTAATGACAGCATAGTCATCCATCAGATGGATTTACCACAATGTACTTAATAGCTGCTGAATGTTAGGTTATCTTTTTCACCTTTGGCTATTATAAATAGTTCTCTGAAGACTATCTATGATATACATCTTTTGTCCATTTGTTTTGCCTTAGGGTAGTACTTTTCAAACATTTTCAGCATAGTAGAGCAAATAAGTACCTCTAGGTGAGCTGGGGCAAAGGTTCAAATGACTTTCTGCAACTGCAAGGTTTTAAGTCTCATGATTTAATTCAAGAACTCATATATATATATTTTTGTTTTAGTCCACAATATGCTGGTATCTGCTTTAATGTAGAAATTTTTTAAATCAACTACCATCCAGTAAAACTGATACTTCAGGAGGATGTGCCACTTTTCCTGGGACCTTCAATACACCCCGCACATCACTGTTTCCCAGGGCATAGCCAACCCAATTTGAGAAGCACTGTCTTGGGAAAAAGTGCTAAAAGCTAGCTACTTTTTGATTTTGAAAGGTAAAGTGAAGATCCAGAAAAAATGCCTCTCATTTATATTTATTAACTTACAAAATCTTGAAGACATCTCAGATGAATAATAAATAAGCCCACTTCATTTAAAAAAACCCCCACAAAACAATGCTGTTTTTTATTTTTATAGGCACGCATATATATATATATGTGTGTATGTGTGTGTATATATGTGTGTATATACGTGAGTGCATGAAAAAAAGATCTGAAGGGCCAGCAACAAACTGCTAACATTGATTACTTTGTAGGGAGATGACTGGGATTTGGGGTAGTAAAGGTGGCCAATAAGAAATTTGGCCTTATAAGCAATTTTGAAATTTTTGACAAAGAAATTATTTTATATACATTAATCCTACAGATTATACAGGGTGGGGAGGAGGTGGGTGATGAAACAGCATTCTACCTGCAGATGTCCAGTAGTTTGCATTGATAAAAAAACTTCCTTGCCCTGACTGGTGTGGTTCAGTTGGTTAGATATCGTACCACAAAGAGAAAGGTCCCCAGATGATTCCTAGTCAGGGCACATGCCTGAGTTGCAGGTTCAGTACTTGGTTGGGCTGTGGGTGAGAGGCAACTGATTTATGTTTCCTTCCCTCTCTTTCTCCCTCCCTTCCCATATCTCTAAAAAAACAAACCAAACCAAACCAAACCAAACCAAAACAACCTTTCTTTTGGCACTCACCTACGGACACTGGCAATGGTCTCTCTGTTTTTGAAACGACTGAAACGAGCTGTATAGTTTAGCGTTTTCATGAAGACCTCAGAAAGTTCTTGTTCATCCTCTGCACTCTCATTCTGTTGCTTTCGATGCTCCAGAAGCATATGAACTTCTGAATTTAGAAGTGTCTCAGCTGTTTCAAACTCTGTGAGAAGCACAAATGTCAGCTGAAAATATTCTTTCAGAAGTCAGTTTCTAAATGTTGGTTTTTGCATTTGAGACTAACAGCAAATCTCTGTCCCTTCAGAAATCCAGACACTTCATATCCAACAACTTTATACCACAAAGTATGGTGGAGTTCATGAAATACTAAAAAGCTCACTTGGGCTAGAGTTTCAGATATCAAAGAACCTAACTTAGATGTGCTATTAAATGATGCATCATTGTCCTGACCTGTGTGACTCAGGTGGTTGGGCATTGTCCTAAAAGCAAAAGGCTGCCAGGTCAATCCCTGCTCAGGGTACACGCCTGGGTTGTGGGTTCAGTCCTGGTCTCTCTCTCTCTTTCTATCTCCCTTTCCCTCTTTCTAAAAATAAATAAAGTCTTTAAAAAAAAGACACATTAGACTAATTAGGCCAATTGTTGGTTTCAAAATGGGGCATAACCAACAATTATTTCTCTGCAGCTTGCATAAGCTCATAATCTCTAACTCATAATACTAATGTTACACTCTCAATTTTTTTACTTTTAAAGAATTCTAGTATAGTTGGTATGCAATATTGTATCATGTTATATTAGTTTTAGGGGTACAATATAGTGATTTGACATTTTTAAACCTTACAGTGTAATCACCTTACTAATCCTAGTAACCATCTGTCACTGTGCACACCTATCACAATGTTGTACACTATATTCCCTCTTCCCTGTTTCACTCATCCTTCATCCACCTCCCCAGTGGCAACTATCCTTTTGGCCTCTGTTTCTATAAGTCTGTTTTTTGTTTCGTTTGCTTGTTTTTTTTTTTTAGATTCTACAATTAAGTGAAACTATATAGTATTTGTCTAACTTATTTCACTCAGCATACTACCTTCTAGGTCTATCAATGTCGCAAATGGCAAGATTTCATTCTTTTTATGGCTGAGTAAGATCCCATTGTATATATGTATCACTTCTTTCTTATCCATTTATTTATTGATGGACACCTAGGCTGCTTCCATAGCTTGGCTAATGTAAATAAAGCTGCAGTGAACACAGGGGTGCATATATCTTTTCAAATTAGTGTTTGTGCTTTCTTTGGGTAAATACCCAGAAGTGGAATTACCGGATATATTTTTAGTTTTGGGGCTTTTAAAAAAGATATTGCTTATTTTACTTTTAGACAGAGGGGAAGGGAGAAAGAGAGGGAGAAAAACATCAATGTGTGGTTGCTTCTCACATGCCCCCCACTGGAGACTTGGTCCACAGCCCAGGCATGTGCCCTGACTGGGGATCAAACCAGTGACCCTTAGATTCGCGGGCCAGGATTCAGTCCACTGAGCCACACCAGCCAGGGCCATTTTTACTTTTCTGAGGAATCACCATACTGTTTTCCATAGTGGCAGCACCAATTTGCAATCCCACCAACAGTGCATGAGGATTCCCTTTTTTCCACATCCTCGTTAACACTGGTTATTTGTTGATTTATTGATGATAGCCATTCTCACAGAGAGGTGGTATCTCATTGTGGTTTTGATTTGTATTTCCCTGATGATTAGTGATGCTGAGCATCTTTTCATATGTTTATTGTCCATCTGTATGTCTTCTTTGGAGAAATGTCTTCCTCCCCATTTTTGTAAGTACATGCACTGCAAAAGCATGCACTGTCTGCCCATTTTTTGATAGGAAGACTTTTTGTTATTGAGCTGTATGTGTTCCCTATATATTTGAGCTATCCACTCTTTATCAGATATATCATTTGTGAATAAATTCTCATTTTAAGAATTTCCACATTTTGCTGTGTATAATGTGCACTCTTTGGCCAAATTTTGGAGAGAAAAATTAGGATACACATTATACATGGGTATAATAATTACATACCATGGGTATAATAATCCCGTGTATAATGCACATAAAAATGTGGGTACACACTATACACAACAAAATAAGGTATTATATTAAGGAGGGCCAAGTGTTTGGAAGCACATATTAATAATGTACCCCAAATTCTATTTCTGTACCTGCACAAATCTATTCACCCAAGTCACCACCTACTGTATCACAGGAATTGAGCTTTCAGCTAAATGCCCATTTCCTCTAGATTTCATAGTCAAACATAATCTGTCAATTAAATCTAACTCAAATATTTACCATGACGCAAACCTCTTGCCCTTGATACTCATTTAAAATAATTCTCTGGACCAGTAAGCAACATAAGCGGTCTCTATGGGCAATCTTTAAAAACTAAGTTTAAGAGAAAAAGAAAGCTTTGGCTCGTTTCCATAATAGGAGAGGAATTGGCTCCTCTCCAATTCCTTTGGCAACCTTTAGCTATATTTTCAGGATGGCATTGTTAAAATGTTATTATCTCCTTTGGAAGATCATTATCTCTCTCACATTAGGAGCATACATTCCTAATACTTATTACGAAGTGTAGGAGCTGGTTTTTATCTGCTTTACCCTTATCAGTGAGTTCCCCCAGAGTAGAAACCATCCATAAACATGAGTTCATGTTTATAATGCTACATTGATGAACAGGAAGCAATTGTGAGAAAAATCCAAAGTTATTTGCAATTTGGCATTTACATATGACACAGGTACACTTACTATTGGGGAAATCATGAACACCTCCATCAGATTAATGCCTTCCATTTCTTGGGCCAGGTCACAGGAACTTCACTCTTTTCACAACGGTGTGTGTATATATGCACATGTGTTTTTGGAGGGGGGTGTGAAAAGGAAACTGTATTTGAAAGGTTCTCACTGCTACTGAATATAATAGGCACCCCAAAGCTACTTTCTACCTGAGGGCAGCATAGTTTGAAGAAGAGGTCCCTCAGAGTTAATTCCAGTCCAAACCTCTGAGGTGGTGTACAGGTGAAGAAATTATTGCCTCAGAGCAATGAGTACAGAACACATGAAATATCAGGAAGTATGATCCTAATGTCTCTGAAGTGAAAGTAACAAGTGACATCAGGGAGGGGAAAGGCAATAGCAGCTAAACAGTGTTAGTCTCAGCTTCTGAGGCTGAAGCATTAGTGCAGCCTTACAAAATGAAAATTAAAAGGCTAAACAAGAGTAACGGCTAATGACCTCCAAGCTTGTTATAGTTGTTGATGTTTTGAAGGCTTCTGGAAAAGTGCCCAAAGTTAGAGATGCTTCCCTTTCTGCACTAAACAAATTTACCTGTGAAATTCAATGGATAGAATTCAGGACACCAGGAGACTAGGCATCTGTCTCTACTCTTCACTGAGGGCAATGCCCAAGTACTACTTATATATCACTTTCACTCTTTTCAACTAATGAAAGGTCAAGGCAGTCTAATTGTGACTTGGAGGACCTAGGAGTGGGGGGAGTGGGGTGCCTGAGACCTACCACAGAAGCATTTCCAGGATTTGAAATCATAATTGGGGAGAGAAGAGGGAGTACAAACACTTTTTTATAACTATGGAAAGTGAGGACCAAAGCGTCTACTCATAGTTAACCACAACAAACCATTTTGTTGTGAAATTTCTCACACTCACACACTATACATATTTTATTTGGAAAACAAAAGGAACTAGATCAGGGGATCTACATGATATTACCCCTCTCTGCATATATTTTAAGAGCAATAGCCACAATTCATTAATCCCCATTCCTCTAAGAAGGAAAATAATTCCTTGGCCAGTACCTCATCTGAGAATTTCCTTGAGGACCTTTCATTGCAACCATTAGTGTTTCATGACAGGGGTGGCCATTTCAGATGGTCTTCTTATACTGTGCATTTTTCTCTCAAGTACAAAAATAGGGGATTTCTTTAGTTTAGGTAGGGAATGGTTGGGATTATATTCCTTTCTAGAAAAAATGGCTTATTTTCTAATTTCTTCAGTCGAGTTGCTGTTAATTATATCACATAGATAAAGGACAAACTTTATTTGTGGGCAAATATGTTTGTGAAAATTGCCACTAAAAATACTCAGTAGCTTTCAGTCATCTCCATTCTTTCAGTCCTACAATTAATTTTACACATTTGTTTACTTTCCATCCTATAGCAAAGGATTTTCTTATATTTTAAATACTTACTGTTGTTTCTGTATATCTACATATGTTCTAAAATACATAACACTTTATATGCCTATATTAACTAAGAAGTTAATGATAAAAGATTGATAGGATCTAAGATCTAAATATATCCATTCAATACAATTTTCATGTGTACCAGATTTTATAAAACAAGTATTTTCAGAGTGTTAGAAAAAAATTAAATAAAAAGTACCCGGACAAAACCCAAATACAAAAAATTGGTTTAATTTATCATGAAATTAAGAAAACCAGCTCCTTCTTGGTTATTACACTTTTAAAAAGAAACAAATGTATACTGTCATTATGCAAAAAAAAAAAAACTTATGTAAGCTATCCTATGGAAATTGCACTTGAGTCTATGAAATAAAAAATTCTAAGCAATCTATCAATAGATGAATAGCATTACAGTACAACCATTAAGTACTATCTAACCTTTTAAAAGAATAGGACAGTTCTATACAATATACCGTCAAAATTTTTAAAAGCTGTATGATTTCTATAGCATAATCCCATTTTGCAAAGAAAAGAATTTATGTGTATATTTATGAATAAGCATAAAATTAATATGGAAGAACAAGTACTAACCTGTCTATAGTAGTTTCCTCTGGAAGAAAGGGTGTGGAGTTTCACTTTTTAAAAAAAATAATTTGGCCCTGGCTGGCGTAACTCAGTGGATTGAGCGTGAGTTGTGAACCAAAGTGATGCAGGTTCGATTCCCAGTCAGGGTACATGCCTGGGTTGCAGGCCATGACCCCCACCAACCGCACATTGTTGTTTCTCTCCCTCTCTTCCTCCCTCCCTTCTCCTCTCTCTAAAAGTAAATAAATAAAAATTTTTTAAAGATTTTATTAACAAATAAAAATAAAATAAATTTTAATAATAAAAATAATAAAACAAATAAATAAATATTTATTTATTTTTAGAGAGGGAAAGGAGGGAGAAAGAGAGAGAGAAACATCAGTGTGTGAGAGATACATCTATAGGTTGCCTCTCACACGCCCCCTACTGGGGATCTGGCCCACAACTCAGGCACGTGCCCTGACTGGGAATGGAACAGGTGATCTTTTGGTACGCAGGCTAGCGCTCAGTTCACTGAGCCACACCAGACAGGGTAGGGAGTTTCACTTTTTATTGTGAAAAATTATATAACAATTCTTTAAACAGGAAAGTATTGTTAAGGTCTCCCCCATTTACTTTGTTTTTCAGTACCTACAAAACTTATTTTAAAATCTTAAGCTTTCTCTTTATTTTTGGTTTCAAAATTACAAAGGACATGACACTGCATAGAGGAAGTTCCCTGATAGCAAATGTGCTTCACATACTACCACTGACAAAAATTCTCTCCTTGACCAAACTAGCCAGAGTCCTGTGAGTCTCTTCCTGACTAGGCCTCAACTTCAGCCCACAAAGGCTTGAGTAAAACACTGACATGATATCTAACAATTCAGGGCTGAATCCCGAGGATGACCCTAGCTCCTTCAAAGAGCCTGCCTGTGAATATTAAGAGCTGTCAAAATAACTTACTGTTTGTTTCAGCCAACAGAGGGAGGGCTGTGGGAGGGTAGGAACCTAATTTCCACAAATGCCAGCCTAAAAACCCAAATGCACTTCAAACGGACCAACTACCCTACCCACTTTTCGTAATTTTCGTCTCCCTGTCCCGACTAGCACCCTCTTACCGCCCCCTCATTCCTTCATTCTGCCTTTAAAACGCCCAGTCACCACTATACAAACAGAAGTTGAGTTCAATCCACGCTAGGCTTTCTTCTCTAATAACGTATTGCTGATTAAAATCCGTCCTGACCACTTTAGTGTCGGCTTTGTTTATCTCCGATACGTCTCTCCCGCACTTCGCAGTGTAGTAGAGGAAATAAACTATTGCAACAGGTAGCCAGAGATGCCCCAGGGCAGTGTGGAGAGGCGCCAAGGGACCCAGGCACCCTCTCTCCAGACACAGTGCCGGGTACTCGAGCCCTTGCAGGACCTGGACCTGCCGAGCCTTGGACCTGGAGCGGGGTAGAACTAGGCCTACAGTGACCACGCCAAAATGCAAAGTAGTCGGGCAGCCCCAGGGCCCACCTTTGGGAAAGACGAGCTGTGAAGCGTCCTCCTCTACGTCGCCACCACGCGGGTCGGGACCGCCCGTCGCCATCGCCGCGCTTCACGCCGACACCCACAGCACCGGAAGAGGACGCGCGGAGCCGCCGGCCGGGGCCAAGGAAAAGGCGGGACCGGGGGCGGGGCCCAAAGGTGGGGTGGGCGGAGTCGGGAAGGTTGCGGCCCGCAAAGGAAAAAACATGCTGTTTCTCTTCTCTACTGGGACCTGGGTCACGAGTCTTGGGTAGATCACTTATCCTTTCTGAGCTTCAGCTTTCTCACCTGTCAAGTGTGGGTAAAGACTAGATGAGACGTGGGAATGCGCTAATTGGCCCAAGGAACTCCGGCTGATGGAAAGCTGGGTATGTAACTCCGAAAACATAAAGTGGAATTTGTTCCAGTGCCTTAAACATTTAAAAAATTTGATTGCTTTGTAGTGGATTCTTAAAAATTTTTATGAGTTTATTTAAACCAAAATGGCGACACTCCTAGAAGCAAGATCTCTAGATGCTCCCTTAGTGGATTATTCTGATACTCCTGAGCTTGTGGACAGTGATATTGAGAAGCCTTTAGCACCTCTTGAAACATTTGGCCCATCATAGAAAAACAAATGAAAAATGCTGTTTTCAATTTCAGAGAAAAGAAGGTTGTATAATAAAGGGCATAACCCTAGTGCATGACTTGGCTCAGTAGCGAACAGTGTTTAGGTATCATGTAAACTGTTAACTAAAAAAATGAATTACCGGACAAGAGTATGTACATTATATTCCTTTGCTTTATAAATTTTTACAAAATTATTTTGCTTTAAATCTGTATTTCCAGAAGAAATGTATTGGGTATGTTGACAAAAGAACTTCCTGCCTAAGAAAAAGCCTTATAAGACTTTATTTGATCAAAGCTGACAATTGACAGGAAGCAAAATCTCCAGAGACAGAAAGTGCTTCAGAGAATGGCAGTTTTGCAGTTTATTTTATACATTAGAATCAAAGGAGGATACATACCGCATTTTGCTGTGTATAATGTGTACCTTTTTGCCCAAATTTTTATGGGGAAAAATAAGAATGCACATTAAACATGGGTATAATGATCACATACCATGGGATTAATAATGCACAAAACGTGGGTGTGCATTATACATAGCGAAATATGGGTAAGCAGGATTACATGAAATCCACTGATGATAGATTAAGAGGGCGGGATTGGAAAAAAGTAAAAAGGAGAGACACATACTTCTGTACTGTTGGGTCTGTGCCCACCAATGTAGAAGACATTACAGTTCATAAAGATGGTATTTGGGTTACAAGATAACAATGAGGGGTGCTGTGGTCTCTCGCTCTGATACAGTGGGTACGCCTTGAGGGATCTGGAAAAGAAAATTTCAAAGGTATGTTATCTTAGGTGCATAAAGACAATAGACAATTTCAAAGGTAAAGCTGGACCTTTGTCAGGGAAGCTACAGGCCTAGCACATGACTATGCACCATGACCCATTTTTTGTTAGGAATTTTTATCTTCAGACTATATTATGTGGTTACTTTCAGTCTCCAAGTTTGTAAGGCTTGCTATGTGGGCCTTCCCTGAGCTTGTCAGGTTTAGTATTTGGCCTCGTTTTGGTCCATGGGTAAAATAATAGATTATATAGTACTGGCAGAGTTTATTAGTTTCAAAGTGCTTTCCTACACAGTTTATTAGAGCTGTGAACAGATGTACTGATGAGGAGTTCTGGGGCATCCAGCAGCTGGCTGTGGGAAATGGGCCTGCAGTTCAGTGTAGGCCTCTTTCTTCCATCTATCCATACAATAGGCCTTTACAGAGCAACTCCTACTTACTGTACCTTACCATGTGCTGGCCCAAGGGCTAGCTGGATATCCAACACTTGGTACCTTCTGCACATACAATGGTCTATTGAGAAGACAACAGATGAAGAGAGAAGGAAAATAACAAATAATATATGTAGTGATGTTTCACAGCTTGGTTTGTCCACCATTTTCACTCAGGAAACAATAAATATTTATGTGCAATGCTCCAGGGTTAAAAAATACCATCAGTCACCCATCTCTCCACAATGGGAGCTCACCAAGAATAGCTGATGCTAGATCTGGACTTATTTTCCAGAATAAAAGACAGAAAGTGGCAAGTGGTATGAAAGAAAGTCAAAGAAAGTGCTATAGAATAATACAGAGAGCAAGAGATCACTTTTGGTTCTCAGTAGGTGAGTCACAAGAGGATCCGGGAGCAGGAGCTGGCACTGCTCCTCAACATGTAGTCAGAGATGTAGGAGCGGTAACACGAAAAAAATCATCAGATACATAGCTGAATATTCATTAAGGTAAATTCACATTTCAATACTCTTAAATGTCACAGTAACTATACAAACATGGAGCAATGTTACACTTTTCATTAATGTTGCTATATCACTTTTTTAATCAAAAGAATAACTTCCACTTTTTATAACCTTTTAGAGTACTTCTCAAAGAATCCCTTGTGGACTGAATCCCTCATTGTTTTCTACCTGGACCCAGATGTTTTGCCTCTAAAATAGGATGACAATGTTTCTCAGTTTTCCATATACTCAAGGTTATTGTAGAGAATCTCCAATTTCTATCATAAAGAAATCTGTGGCACCTGCTGCTAGAAACATACTGGTGCTACAAAAGAAGTGTCTAGCAATACAAAGGTATGGGGTATTTGGGGGAGGGGTTGGTGGCTGTGTTATTCTGCAAACTGTCCTTGACTTCTGTATAGGTACCAAAACCTCCAGGTTGTCCTTGGAGTTCCAAACTTGATTCTAAGTCCTATCTGCCTGTGGTAATGTCCATTTGGCTTTGAGAGCCTTTTTAAAGAGAGAGAAGGGGAGAAATAGGAGAGAGGGAAACACTGGCATGAGAAACATCGATCAGCTGCCTCTTGCATGTGCCCCAACCAGGCACAGAACCCACAACTCAGGCTAACTGGGAATCAGGAGTCAACCAGTGCCTTTTGCTTCTGAGGGATGATGTCCAACCAAGTGGCTCTGGTCAGGACATGAGAACTCTTCTTGAGGTGAATCTGGGCCTATTTCAGTACCCATCTCTCAAAAAGATTATCCTGAATTGAGGGGCTGAGCACACCAATTATGCTGCTTCTTGTCTATGCCCATAGCTCTGGAAAGTTCACACTGGCCCCACAGCTCCCATCTACACCTAGCACTGGACAAGTGTGGATAGTCAACAGCCATCCAGCCATTCACAGCTTGTGCTGGGGCCTGGGCAAAGCATCATCAACAGGCTGCCTTAGAGATGCATACTCCTGTCACAAAAAGGAAATTCAGCTACTTGTCTGGCTCATAAATAACAGCAAAGATTCCATCTCAGGTCTGATTGACAGCCTATGAAGGCTTCAATGTCAGCACCCCAGGTTACTTCTTTGGTAACCAGAATGGCCATACTGTGGTAGGGGATTGAGTGACTGGGTGAACTTGAGACCTGTTTGGTTCCCCTTATCAACAGTTTTGAAATCAGAGGGGTGACTTGTTTTTCAGTTAGTTCACTGTAGCCTACAGAATATACATAGAAAATGAATAAGCAGCAGGAAGACAGAGATCCTAGAATCTGTCAGAGCTTCATTTTAGATAAGGAAAAAGACTGAGAGAATGGGATTTGCATTTCATTCCTCAGGATGCTACTACAAGTTCTTTGTACAGTATTGGTTTGAGTCAAGTCTGTCAACTAGCTCAACAAGTAAGTAGTATTTCAAAGCCAGATATTCAAGCCAAGGTCACATACTGTTATTAATATGGAAACAGCTCTAATGTACCTCCCCACCTCCACTCGCATCAGAATTAGCACCACTGATCTCTGACCAGATGACTTAGTTCGTATTTCAGACAATAAGGATAAGTTAATATGGCAAATTTTGTTACAGTGTACCACCAAGTCCCACTTGGAACAGTAACATGAAATTGTTGTTACATGTAATATGGAATATTCATCTCTAGAACCTTCTTTTCTCTTGAAGAAACAATTCCTCTCAAACAACCCAGAGTTATTATCAAACTGTATGTTTAATCAGTTGCTTGTAGTTTATTTCTAAAATTATCTAACCCAGACACCTTACATGTTGGCCATATGCTTATGAGCTCTGCCAAGTGTAAGGGCCTCAGAACTGTGTTATCTTAAAAAAAAAATTACTACCTGCAAAAATTTAAACTGAAGGCTGACAATTGCAGAATATGAATGTTTGAAAAACTACTTGTCACTTTTTCCAAATACATCTCATCTGTTTTGGGCCATCCAAGAATAAACATTTTTTTTTAGGTTAGAACATACCATTGTCCCAATGTCTTTGCTTCATGTCTCCAAATCATCTTAAGTTTGAGCATTTTTCCCCCCTTACTAAAGTTTTTAACTTTATGGGCAAAATCGGTTTCAATGGAAAGCTAACGAGATCTATGAACCTTCTTCCAGACTAAACTTGAAAGGGTTCATGAACCCTGGTTCAGGAAACTTGACTCTGAAGCATCAGCAGCATTGCTAAAACCACACACACACAAGTGCATGGTTATTGGAGGTCATTAATACCACACAAAATATGCAGCCTGACTGAATACTATATTGTTGTTGACTGTTACCAATGTTCCAAAAAAAGAGGCCAAACAATTTTTACCCATTATGATTTATTCTCTACAATACTTTGTTAAAGAGTTCAATGATTTGCACTCAGAAGTTATATAGCCAAGAGGCAACCAAGTGTAATGTGAAGAATTGGTATGAAGTCCTTGCACTTGAAGGTCATACAAAGTCTCTTGCTTCAGGGAAATAAGGATGAAAACAGAAAACAAAAAAAGCCCCACAAGCTCCCTAAGCTCCAGAATCTCAACAGAAAAACGACATCAACAGTTAGTGAAACTGTAGGTGTTAACATGGAAAACAGATTTTGTGCAAATATTAAAATTAACACCTAACACTCCTGTATAGATTATTTTTATTATAAACAATAAAATGTCTCAATTACAAACCTTTCATGTTGAAAGAGACTCTAACATGAATTGCTTTATTAATTATGAAGCGAAAAAGTTTAAGAAACTCACAGTGGAAACAATCTAACACCAACAAACTCTAGTGAGATCAAAGACATTCTCTTTTAATATAAAACAAACACAATTCATAATTACAGAGAGAATGTCCCAGCTGTGGGTATTATGAGACAACCTAACTTTCCAGATCAAAAGGCACTCACAGCTAGGGATGAAACAAATTCTGAACCAAACCAGCCAAGTTGGGCTGGTCCCTTTAAAACAGTGGTCACCTACTGTTCAGCTTGAGCAGCACAAGGACTAACAAAACACCAAGCAAAAAAACCCTTCTCTTTAAACCCACCACTCACACATTGGCCATCCTCATCACTGCATTGGTTAAGTGAGTGGAAGGCAGTTCAGTTTCAGTTTAGAGCCATCATCCCCCTACACAAAGCTGCCACATGGATGATCCAGACTTAGTATCTTTCCAGAGAGCCACTGCCACACATCTTTATGAGGTGACCATGACCATCTACTTCCAGACTGCTTCCTGAATAAGCCCCATTTGGAATGGACACTTATAGTGCCATTGCTTACAGGGCCAAATAATTTTTTTCGTCAACTCAAGTACTCTTGACAAGCAAGAGGACCTCGAGCACTTCCGTGGCTGGACTTGTATGGAGCATGAAGGAACGTGCAGAGTAAGGCTTCTCCACAAATACTGAGCCCACTGCAGTGTGGTGCTGGTCTTAACCAGCCCAATTCTTGTGCACTGATTCCCTTTCCCCTGCATTTTGCAGGTTTTAAATTTTGTTCATTTCCTTAAATGGCAGGTATCCTACCCCACCCTCAATAAAATAAAATTAAATAGGGCAACATTTCTACAAGAAAAAAAAAGGCTTGAAGAGCATGGCACTGTAAATGCTTGCATGACCAGTTTCACTGAGCATGCTCAGGGATAAAATTTTAGCACCAATTTTTTTGATTTTTAAATCTTTAGAAATTAAACACAACTTTTAACATAGAACATTTGAACAGTAATGAGTGTAGCCCTATGTATCAATACTGTTGTACAAATTGAAGGTGGGTGGTTTAGTCCCAAACTGACCACCCTGACATCAATCCGTGGCACCTAAAATAACTGTTGTCGCGTGTGTAATAAGATATTTATTATTCTCAGCAGCAGGAAATCATGAAAGAATCCTTCATCTTCAATAGTTTTCAATAACTCTGTAGGAAGAGTGGCAGGATGCAGGAATGCAGCCCGGCATCCTGCTGCTGGCCCATTCCCCCTGCAGTCCACATCCTCATGAACAGAAGATGCCAAGCATATCTGCTCACCTCACCTCTATTCACCTCTTCCAGGAAATGAGACAGCAATGCCTGTAATAGCACATGTCATTTCTTACACTGTGTCCTTGTTCCCTCCACCCCATTTCTGTTAGACTTTACTATCTGCCCATTCTGGAAAGCCATACCATCACCACATAAACTTTTTAAAATAAATTAAATCAAAACATTGTCCACCAGGTTGACACCCAATCCACTTGCATGTTGTTGAAAACCAGTGTATTACCCTTACAGTCTTTTCTTCCAACTGGCCACCTCCTACCTGTGATTAATTTCAGCAGTGCCTCCATGACAATGTTTCCAAAGCACCTTCCAACTCCTTAATTCTATAAACTTTGCCACCAGTGAGAGAACAGGCAAGAGGAAAGAGAAAAGTTGCTGAGAGCTATTTAGAGTAAGCAACACTGGGAAAGGGAAATATGCCACATGAAAATCTAAATGACCTAGAATAAAATGAGCTACTTGGCTCTGCCCTGATGCAGTGAAGATTCCCAGCATATTAAGCAAGATAACAATTCACCTTGTTTAACTACACAGCTTTGTTCTTAAGTCCTATAAAGGACTAAATTATAAACTGTTTTCTCACTTCTACAGGGGAACTAGAAAAAGAAATTCCACTGTTTTTTAAGTCCCTTAAAGATGGCTGCCTGAAAAGAAAAAAAATAGCTTGGAGATCCTATATTCTCTCCTGTGACAACGTGTCTTTCTAAAGCCCAACCCAGGTGCTTGTTTGAGTATGTCTTCTGTGAACCTAGATCCAGCTATAGGCACTGCTACCAGTAAAGGAGTGAGGTAGCCGGGTGGTAAGGAAGCAGTCTCTCCTTTCACACTGCATGTAGCAATTATGTCAGGACCTCCTGCAGGCATCCCAGTTCATTCCTCAGCAGGTTACACCACAGAGCTCTCTCTGTTCAATACCAGGAGACTCAATGGAAGAAGTGTCAGAACATCCAACTGCTAATAGGATGAAAATTAAATCCTTCAAAGCTGATTGAGCAATGAGATATGCCACGCCATCCAATACGATGTGGGTTTCTGTCCAGGAGCCTCGAAGGACTCAAAGTGCCCACGTTCAACCCTAACATGGCGTCCACTTATGAAGCATGGAGGTTGTGATCAACTGTTGGTATGCAATAAATTGGAGATTTAAAAAAAGGAATTTAAAACAACCTAAAAATGTTTCTTGTTGGTCTCCGTTGCCCAGACTGCCAGGGAATACACCTCCTTAATCTGGGGAGGCTATAAGGGTGCCTGTGGGTTGAGCCTTCAAGAATCATCAATTCCAGCTTCCACTGTGTGGCCAACACACAGGTAGCCACTTGCATGCCAAGGATCTTCTGAACCCACACGGCAATTCTCACTAGTCATGGAGGAGCCCCAATCCAATGGAACCCCATAATGAGGAAAGGCTGAGATAAGGCTTGGGCCCCTCAAGTTGTTTCATTCAATATAACGTCCCCCCGCCCCCACCGGTCAGCTGGAGGCAGACTTGGCAACGGATGCTAGCATCATAAAATGGTGCAGTAATAGAAGTAACTGGACCAGGAAGAGGAGGCATCTGCTCCAATGATGTCATAGCCATTCGTGGCCACAGGGGGGTGGGACTGGTCATGCAGCCTTGTGTCAGGAGTAATGATTGTAGAGGGGCGGGGCATGAAGAGTGCCATTCTGGAAACAGTGCTGTCGTGAAGCAATATATTCTGCATAACTGATTGTCACCTTCTCACTTCGGTACCTGTGTAAGGAAACAGGGAAGGGTATTATGAACCCCAAATATTTCATTCAGGAGAGTCACTCAGCAGAGAAAACCAAAAGCTTATTCCACATTTTGAAAGAATAAAATGGAAGACCAAGAGCAACCTTACTTACAGAAAATGAAAGACAGCACAAAAAAACAATGTTATTACAAATGAACAAGATGAAAAAGCACAATCACAATACCCCTGAGAATGTGTTTTCTGCACATCCCACCTTTAAACACTATATATGCTTATCATCAGGCTGCTCTTAAGCAATCTGCAACTGGGGCCTGGAGGAAGAATTTCAAGTCAAATTACATGGGTGGCAGATTGGAAGATGATGCAACCAATGCCCAGTATAAACTGCATTATCTACTCAGGTTAAAATGAATTAACAGAAATGCAACCTTAGTTTGCAAAAAGCAACAAACGAGTTATTTATAACCAAAGGGGCACAGGTAATCTAACTCTGGGTCAAATTCTCATGAAGCAGGTTAAAGAATCCTGGGGCTATATAGGATAGGTCTCAATTCCTGGATGAATATGCCATATCATATCACAGGGTCATTAGAACAGAATTCATAGCACTTTGGCTTTGCTCTGGAAAGAGCCATGAGTCAGGATGCAAAGCATGGGGTGTTACAAACCTATGGAGCCTACTACAGACCACAGGAGCTGGGTGTGACAATCCTTACCCAGAGCCATCTCTTTCCCACTGTAATCACTCCTCCATTGCAAGGTGATTATTCCTGAATTTTGACAGGGAAATGGCTGTTCAAATAAATTATAATAATAATAATAATAATAATGATATAATGCTTTGTATTTGAAGTTTTGTTTTTTTTTTGGGGGGGGGGAATCCAAAGCATTTCAAAAACACTGGGTTATCTTCCAAATAGACCTGTGAGGTTACTATATGATTATTTAGCATTTTATAGATTAGGGGGCCAGAGGCCCACTGAAGCCCACAGAAGGTAAACCTCTCAGTGTTTTCGATTTCAGTAGGGATGGGAAGAGAACTGACATCTACTGCCTGGCCCTGGACTAGAATTCCTCATACATACCTTACACAACCTAAAACAACCCCAAGGCACTATCATTCACTTTTTACAGACAGGAAATTTTTTCTCACTCAGAGAGGCAGAATAACTGACCCAGGTCACATAGCTAAGTGGTGGAGCTGAGTTTCAGACCCCAAGTTCATGTACTTTCTACCACACTAGGCAGCCTCCCCGAAGAACCCTTCACCCCAAACAAGCAGGTTTCCTTTTAACTTTTTACAAAAACTATTCCTTTAACATGCCACCTATATCCTTGCCACCTGACTGCATGTGACTTCAACTGACCTTGGCCTTCTGCACTGAGGGCCTTCTCTCCTGACTTCAAATTCCCCCCTCAGTCTCTCCCAAAAAAATTAAGTCTGGCAAAGACACCCACAATTTGCTGAGTGGCCCAGCCCTGCTCCTCCTGCTATTGGATTAGCTGTCAAGATGCTCATGATGCTGGGGAGTCTAACTCTGCTATCACTGTCTCCTCAGAGCCTCAACCTTACAATACTTCTGTGGTTTAGAGAGAAAGCAGAGAAAAATTTTTTTCCCCTTGCTATCAAAAGTACCCTTCATCCAAACCCAACTAAATTAAAATGACAAGGAAAATGAGAAAGGGGCTTACCTGGTAAGCTTGATCGTTTTTCTGAATTCACTGGTAATGGGAGCCTTAAAGCCACCTTTTCTGAGTAAGGAATCTATTGTCTGGATCTGATCCCAGTCTGAGAAGAGACACACACTGAGGTCAATGCACAATGACAGAGGGGACATGTTTCAACACCATGAGAGGAGAGAAACTGCCAAGTCTGCTAGGGAGGGGCAAAGGAAGCCTTGGGCACTGAGTTGTCTGCCTCACTGACAGACCAAGGAAAACCTTGGAGATTTGAGATTATGACCTGACACATGACATGTGGCTGTCGCCAGGCTCCCTGCTCCTGTGTCTTTCCTGTCAGAGGTAATCCCAACATAAGACTGGTTATTGACCTAGTGCTGGTAACCAGGGCTGTTCTGTGGAAAGAGAGAAATCAAATTCTGCAGCTTATATTCCTTTGTGTGGCCCTTCTTCATTTCGAGGATTTCTAGGAGATCTACTATGTATCATACAGAATTAATGGAAGGAAGGAAGCTATTCCTTCCGGATGGGTGGGAAAGTTGTTCACACATATACTATCATGTTGTTCTTACACATTTTAAAACAGATAAAACCAAATATATCAATCTGAAAACCAAAGAAAACTCCCTAAATTACTGCAAAATGTGCCACTTTACAATTTTCCCAATCAACTTTCAAATGGCAAACGTTATTTGATTATTTACCTAAGTTATTGTCACATTTCAGTATTAGAAAATACTTATGGTGTGCCACCTTGTAAAGAAATGTTAAATTTTTTATGTCATTTTATTAATTTTTTTATGTCATATCCACACTACTCTTGAAAAAGTTTAAACAAAACCACAATAAAACCAACAAGGCACTCTAATTGGTGTGGCTCAGTGGATTGAGCCCTGGCCTGCAAACTGAAAGGTTGCTGGTTCAATTTCTGGTCGGGGCGCATGCCTGGGTTGTGGGCCTGGTCCCCTGTTGGGGGGCTGTGAGAGGCAGCTGCTGATTGATGTATCTCTCACACATCGATGTTTCCTTCCCTCTCTTTCTCCTTCCTTTCCCCTCACTCTCAAAATTAATTAAAACAAAAACAAAAACAAGGCAACTGCTGTCCACATAATTAGTTCAGATATACTGAACTACATACCACTGAATGCACAAGCAACATTTAAACGTATTTTTATTTATTTTTTTTTTTAAAGATTTTATTTATTTATCTTTGGAGGGGAAGGGAAGGAGAGAGGGAGAGAAATATCAATGTACAGTTGCCTCTCTTGCGTCCCCTGCTGGGAACTGGCCTGCAACCCAGGCATGTGCCCTGACTGGGAGTCAAACCTCAATCCTTTGGTTCACAGGCCAGCGTTCAATCCACTGAGCTACACCAGCCAGGGCTAAATGTATTCTTTTAAAGAGAAAACTTGCCCAACCTATGTCCTACCTTTAATGTTGCAACTTAGTGTTAACAACTTAGTGTTACTTAGTGTTACCAAGTTATTTTCCCTACCTCTCCCAAGTTCTTTATAAAAAAGAAGTTATGTTTTGTCTTTTTCTAAGCATAATACTGTTTAATAATTTATGACTAAGAGTTCAAAACCCCAATATGTGCAGCTTCCCTTTAACAATGAACTCCACAATATGGTCAAGTTGATTTGTGGAATTTTGCTATAATTACCCATCTTGGAGGACAATAAATAAAGCTATTCACTGAAAGTGAATTAAGCAAGTAAGAGTAATCTTTACCCCTTTTCTTTTCCCAATTTCTGCATCTTTAAGAGAGTTTATTTTTTTCATTCTATAAGAATCTGATAGATATTGAGAGGAAAAAAGGCACTTACTCTTGGTTGCAATTGGGGTGAAAGACACACACTCCATTGTCATGCTTTTTAGTCAGCAACACTATAAAGTACTGTTTACTGAAATTCCATTTGTCCAACTCACCTTGCTCCTTAGCAACCTCAGGTAAATATGTGGCTGTACGTTTGATGCCTTTTTCATTGACAAATTCAATTCGAATCCCATGGACCCCTACCTATGAGAAAAAAAACCAAAACCAAATCAATAGCATTTACTTAGGGAACTTTAGCCATCCATATGTAAACTGACATTGTCCCCTGACCAGCTTGATCCGGGACTGAGAAAAGGAGAACCTCTTGATTATCATCACTACCAGACTCTCAGGTATAGAAGTACCCCACCCCCCAAAGCTTGAAATAAGGTGTGATTCTACATGTAGCCAGCTCTCTGAGAGTATAAAGACTGTAGAAATAAATGATTTCAATAGCTTATGTAATAATCTTGAATAGTCTACCTACTATCTATTCCATTAAATGAATACACCACGGAGTTTTGATCTGAGTTCATGACTATTCACAAATGATTCTAATAACTTTTACTCAAGGGCTTACCCAGAGGGATCTGGAATATTGTGCTTTATCCTCATTATTTTTTCTTATTAGACATATGGGAAGAGGATGTGAACCAGAGTGGACTGGGAAGAAAGAGAAGGTCTTCATAACTCTCTGCTTCTAATATTATAGCACCTTTTCTGTCACCTATGTTGCTCACAATTGCTTCCAAACTTAGCTTTCACATTCTTATGCCCTCTCAATGAAGGAGATACATTACCATGTACTAACCCGAACCCAAATGCAACGAGAGATGCAGAGTTCCAAATGCAGCTGTTCTCACCTCCCAGTCCAGGTAATCAATGGCATCCTCAAAGTTAGTAAGGAGGGAGACAGAGCAGGAAAGTTTAGGCAGCTCCTCTCGGGTCAGAGGGGGGAATCGACTGTCCTTAAGTGCACTGGAAGAGAACAGAAAACATAAGTGAGGCCACTCTAGAGTTGGGAGCATGTGCCTGAATATTTATAAGTTGAGCTATGCAGAGAATAGCTCAATTTTTATCATCAATACTAATGTGCTAAAAAACAACTTGATTCTATTAACTGTCTATATTTGATTAAAGTGGTGACTCATCAGATTAAAACTCCCCATTTCCTGATTACCAAAAGAGAACGTTCATTCTTTATTACTTAGAAGACATAAAGTCAGGCAGTTGTTTTCAATTTCGTGGATACATTGATTGTTAATTATTCCACCGATTTGAGGCCTCATTCAATTACCTGGTTAACGTGTATTCCCTGAGTCCTGAATGGAGATTCATGGCTGAGAAGGTCCCAATGCAGCCACGAAGCCGCTTGTCCCGCCCTGTCTTCCATGTCACAAAGAGCGGACTAAAAAAGCAAAACACAAACACTCTCCAGCCCCAAATTAATCATGGGTAAGAACAAAACCTTGGCTTTATTCCTGTTCATTTGTTATTCCCCAAATAGATGTTTTCTGAGCTGCCAGCTATCTGAAGGACTCTCTGCCTTTCTGGGAGTCATGCAGTTCCTGAAGGGAAATGCAGAGGATAACTCACAAGGGAGTATGAAGAAAGACTCTCTGGGCAGCCTTTCCTATGTGCCTTGTTGTCAGTTTAGATACCACATGTATGTGCTATATATATTCCTCTTTTTTAAAAATATTTTATTTATTTATTTTTAGAGAGGGAAGGGAGGTAGATAGAGAGAGAAACATCAATGTGCAGTTGCTGGGGGTTATGGCCTGCAACCCAGGAATGTACCCTGGCTGGGAATCGAACCTGGGACACTTTGGTTCCCAGCCCGTGCTCAATCCACTGAGCTACGCCAGCCAGGGCTTATTCCTCTTTCTCTCTTCCTCAGAACCAGTCCTGAAAAAAGTTCAAGACTCCACTTTTTTCCTTTTAATTCTCTGTCTTTCTCCTCTTCTTTACTCACTTTGAATGTCCAAGTTCCTTAATTCCAACCTTCATGAAGACACACTAGATCTATACAACTTCTCCTCCTTACCTGTAAGCATTTGATGCAACCCCACATTGTTCCCATCATTATTTCTGCCATTGGCAACTATAAATATTTCCTGCTCTTAAGTGTTCAGGAAAGAAAAACCATGTTTCCAGAAAAGAGCTTATTTTTAGTAGAAGTTGCCATTCTCTGTTTCTAGGCCAAAGCCATGCTTCATTAGGATACATCAGATTGATGATGACAGGTTTTTTAGAAAGAGGTCACAGGTCTGTCACTCTTCCTCAGATTTTGCCAAACTCCTATGCCATTACCTCTTAGATTCTTGAGTTAAATACTTCTAAAAAGCAAATTAAAACTTTAAAGTCACCTACTTCTTTGATCACTATTACAAAGCCGATCTCTTAGCTACATATCTTTCCCGTGCACTAAAACACTTGAATAGCACCTGCCAGAGCTACTGTCTCAACACCCACTCAAAAACCCTCCAAGTATTTCATTCTCTGTAAGATGAGACTATAAACCACTGGATATAACAGCCTATACCCTGCAATGCTGCAACCACCACCCACTCTTCCAAACCTGTCTCTCTCCTTTACAGGATACATCCAATCCCACTCAGACCAAAGCTGAGCATTTCCAGCTGCTCAGCAGGTTTGTTTTTGTTTTGTTTTGTTTTGTTTTGTACCATGGCAGTATTGCCCTGAACAGTGGGCTTTTTCTCTACATATTCTTTTCTCTGACACAATTTACACGAGTGACTTCCCCTCTCCTCTGTCCACACTCTGTGACACACACTATTTAGCTTTGTATGTGTGGTTTGCCATGTCAACAAGCATCCCAAGAACAAGGACTTTTTTTTCATGCCCCTCCATTCCCTGCCCACTAGGGTTGTGCAATGCCTTCCTATGCACTGACAGCTGAGGAGTGAATGACCTCAGGTCAATGAGTGCTCCAAAAGCATCTTTGAAAAACAAAACCAAAAAAGCTCTTTCAGCCTTGATTGGTGTGGCTCAGCAGGTTGGCTGTCATCCCACAAACTAAAAGGTCACTGGTTCGATTCTCAGTCAAGGCACATGCCGGGGTTGCGTGCCAGGTCCCCAGTTGTGGGTGTGTGAGAGGCCAATCAATGGTTTGTTTTTACCTCTCTTTCTCCCTTCCTTCCTATCTCTCTAAAAATAAATAAAATCTTATAAAAAAATAAAAGCAAGCTCTTGCAAGCTAGCTCAGAGCTGCTTCCAATTCTGAGAAAGGAGTAAACACTAGCATGAATTTCTTCACTTTAAGCTTTATACACATTCCCTGTTTATATCACTGACACATGAGAAGGCTGGGGACAAACAACAGTCTTGAATTAAAAACAGTAAAGCAGATTCTGACATTCTAGGTGGGATGCCAGTGGTCCTATGGAATTACCATGAGATTGCCAATGAACAAAGTAGGGACCCTTATTAAGAGCATCACAGCTCCCACTAAATGAGCTCCTAATTTCTAACCTGGCCCTCAGATGCTCCCAATTTACTTGGAGTCAACACTACTGGGGTCCACAATGGTGTGATAGTGGATCTCTCCACTTGAGAGATTAAATGTAACCTGGTCCCCTTCCAATACCAAATTCAGTGAACATTACAAATATTGTTAGACATTTATCATATTACTGCTCCCTTTTGCCCATATCATGTTAAAGATTTTATAAGTAGCAGACTCTCTCTACTTATAGTAGTAGAAAGATGCCATCATGCCTTTCTCATTGTCCTGTCCTGATGATCTACTCACTAGGGGTCATTGGTGAATCTAGGAAGTCGTGGCTGTGGGAAGCCATAGAGGTGACAGTAGAGGACATCAAAGCAGTAGCAGCACATCTCTGCAGTCACCACCAGATTCTTGGTGGTGTTGGCAGTTCCATTGGGTCGGGGAAGAGGGCTCAGCGCTCCCGATGCGGGATTCATTCGTGTAATGGGAGAGTTTCCAGGTCCCAGAGTTAAGTCTGACACATTCTCCCGACCACTGCTGCCATCCACATGCTGGTGGTTTTGAAGAGGTCCTGAACTAGAGCCAGGGACAGTTGTGGACTGGTTCCCGTGAGCGTGTGTTCCGTTTCCAGATAACTTGGGCTTCTTGACCCCACAACAGCCTGCTGCCAACTTGGGCTCGAGTGGAGGAACACAACGTCTTTTTCCCATCCTGATTCAGTGCTTGAGATTTGGAATGCTAGAGAACTCTAGAAAGGAATAGGTAAACATTAATTCAAATGGTTAGCTAAAAGGAGAAATCAAAAACCGAAGGCAAAATGAGAAAACAAAAACCAAAGAAAAAGAGTCTCCACAGAGAGGCAAGAGTGATTAATTCTCTTTCTCACCCAAGTCACATAGTCACAAAGGGTCTCAGACCAGTAGGGCTAGAAGATATCCTGAGTTCCAGACCAGCAACTCCCAAACTTTTCCTAAAGGGGACATTTAAAAAAAATTTCCCATAAAGCTATGATCACCATGAATGGAGGCAGGCAACAAAGTTCTCTTGCCCAGGACTCTCCTGGGCAGAAGAGAGAGTTGGGTGGTAGCCATTGTGAAGCTAGATGATAGAGGACATTTCAAAAAAGACAAAAAATTATACTTGACCCATCAGACTCTTCATCAGGTTGCTTTCTCTACCATTTCATAGGATCCAAACTCAACCACTCTATTTTTAAAGGACCCCAGAGGAACCTCCACGCTTCTCCTTGTTAACCACATCCTTTCAGCATCTTCCGCAACACTAACCTAAATACATATATATATATATGTAACTTCAGCCCCAGACCTTAGTGAAGGTGAAATGCAGTTAGCTGTCATTCTCAAGAAAGAGCTTTAGCACACCTTCTAACACAAGGCTCCCATCTTTCTGCACCCCCACAGCTATCATTTTCTGATACTACTGTTTCCTTAGTTCTCTGAACTCACTTCAATTTCTCCACATTTCTCTATCCTTTTAAAGGCTCGTTCAAGAAAAGCTACAATCTAGTAGGAACCTTTATTCATACAAATGACCCAAGCTTCATAGTCCTTTTGTGAGGTAGCCATTCTGCCCTGTCATAGCAAAGCAGACTTATGTAAAGCTACTTACCTTAACATAATGTGGCATCAGGCCAGAAAAAGAGTGTCCCATCTGATGTGAACCAGAGGATCATTTATGCTAAATCTATTTCTTTTTAATATATTTTATTGATTATGCTATTATACTTGTCCCACTTTCCTTCTCCCCTTTATTCCCCCTCTGCCCTGCACCCGCCCCTCCCACCAGCATTCCCCCACCTTAGTTCATGTTCATGCATTGTACATATTAAGTTCTTTGGCTTCAGCATTTCCCATACTATTCTTAACCTCCCCTGTCTATTTTGTACCTACCATTTATGTTCTTATTCTCTGTACCTTTTCCCCAATTCTTCCCTAGTACCCTCCCCGCTGATAACCCTCCATATAATCTCCATTTCTGTGATTCTGTTCCTGTTCTAGTTGATTGCTTAGTTTGCTTTTGTGGTTTTTTTTTAGGTTCAGTTGGTGACAGTTGTTGAGTTTGTTGTCATTTTACTGTTCATATTTTTGATCAACTTCTTTTTCTTAGGTAAATCTCTTTAACATTTCATTTAATAAGAGCTTGGTGGTGATGAACTCCTTTAACCTGATGTTATCTGGAAAGCACTTTATCTACCTACCCTTCCATTCCAATCTTGAGTATTACTAGGTCCTTGCCTTTCATTACTTGAAATACTTCTGTCTAGTCCCTTCTTGCCTGCAAGGTTTCTTCTGAGAAACCAACTGACAATCTTATGGGAACTCCTTTGTAGGTAACTGTCTCCTTTTCTCTTGTTGCTTTTAAGATTCTCTCCTCTTTAATCTTGGGTAATGTAATTATGATGTGCCTTGGTGTGTGCTTCCTTGGGTCTAATTACTTTGGGACTCTCTGAGCTTCCTGGACTTCCTCAGTCTATTTCCTTTGCCAGATTGGAGAAGTTCTCCTTCATTTTTCAATCTTTTGCTCTTGCTCTTCTCCTTCTGGCACCTCTATGATTTGGATGTTAAAATGTTTAATGTTCTTCTGGAAGTTTCTAAGATTGTCCTCAGTTTTGTGAATTCTTATTTCTTCATTCTGTTCTGGTTGAATGTTTATTTCTTCCTTCTGCTCCAAATCACTGATTTGAGTCCTGGTTTCTTTCCCTTCACTGTTGGTTCCCTGTACATTTTCCTTTATTTCACTTTCTACAGCCTTCACTTTTTCCTCTATTTTTTTGATCATACTCAATCTTTTCTGTGAGTATCCTAATTACCAGTGTTTTGAACTCTGCATCTGATAGGCTGGCTATCCCTTCATTGCTTAGTTCTTTTTTGAGCTTTGACCTGTTCTTTCATTTGGGCCATATTTTTTTGTGTCCACTCACCTATTGAGTAGTAAGGGGCAGAGCCTTAGGTATTTGCCAGAGCAAGGCAGTATGTGGGGGAGGGGTCTAAGAGGGAAGAATGCCACTTGCTTAGCTCTGGGCTGGCTCTCATAATTTCTCACGCTACCCACAAGCAAATTGGGCCCTTTTGGTGCTAATTCCTGGGAGGGTGAGTTTGTATACATTGTAGGACCCTGTGGGTGTCTCCAACAAACTCTCCTGTGAAGCTGGGAGTTTCTCCTTTCTCCTGCTTTTGCAACCCCCACAGAATTTTATAGTTAGAGGTTTTGAGGCTTTATTTCCCTGGGCTGGAAACCTGGGTTGCTCAATCTGTCTTACTCCCTAGTTGTTCTTCCCAGTTTATCTGCATGCAAATGTGGGATGGCCTGTTCTGCCAGCCACAACCCCACCCAACCTAGTCCTCCAAGTGCCACCTTACTGCGATCCCTCTCTGACCTGGATGCCTTTTTCTGCCTCTCCTACCAGTCTGGATGAAATTCTAACTCCTTGGTTGTAGGTTTGATCTTCTGGCAGTTCTAGTTATTTTTTGTTTTTAAACTTGTCCTTCTTTTGATTGTACGAGGAGGCAAAGTGTATCTACCTATGCCTCCATCTTGGCTGGAAATCACTAAATCTTTTTTCTTAACACACCTTAAGCGTAAGGTAAAAATGTATAGCTATAACATGACCATGATCCCCTTTCTGTTCTGTCAATAATCAACAGAATCAGGAGAATAGATCCTAATTATTTCAATGTCAATTATACCAAAGTCTGTAAAATTCTGTTGATGAGAAAAGAATACTGCTTTTTTTCCAAATCATTAATGTTAGTGCTGGCCCTCCCCCAAATTATATATGTATTGTTCTACCTAAAATTTTCTCTATGATTTGAACACATAGCACACGATTGCCTTTTTAGACATTGCTCTACAACATGGTTTTTGGTTATAAACTCTATAATTTTAAAAATCAAATCAGATATTTTTAAGTTGAATTACATAAACATTTCACAAATATTTATTTTCTTGATATATGCTGATCCATAAAATACACACTTTTGCATCTATAGCAGTTCCTTGTGAGATGTAAGTTGTCTATAACCAAGGAAAAATAGCTTGTAAACTTCAAGTGGGGCTTGAAATGGTCTTCTTTTTGAAAAAAACCTTATGTACTTGATCCATTAAAACGTTCAAAAAGTATACTGTTTCTGAGCATGGACTTTGTTGTCTTGTTCAGACTATTAAGAGAGGAAGCAGAATGTCTTGGTTGAAAACGTTAACTCCAAAGTCACTGGCCTGGGTTGAAATCCTGAGTCCCTCAGGATTACCTCTCTGACTCAGTTTGTTCACAATGGGAACAATAGGACTTGCCTCATGTGGTTATTAGGATAATGAGACTAATGTATGTGATGGACTTCATACACTTAAGTGTCAATTTATTTAGCTGCTCCCGCAAGTAAGGAACTACTGGAGGGCCAGAACTTACTCTGCACTGGTGCTCTTTACACAGGGTTTCACAAACCCTCAAACCTATTCAAGCGAAGTGGGACCTCAGGCTTAATAAGTCAGAAAACCTGCCCAAAGTTAGACTACCACTAAGTGGAAGAATTAAAATTGGGACCACAATCTTATCTGTTAGACTCCAAGGCCTTCGTTTTCCCACCAAGTCACAAAGAAGTGTGAGGCTTGCCAATAATAGCCGTTGGATTCAGTCCCGTTCCTAAAGGCATGATGAAAAACAAACCGCATTCAAGGGTATACTAAAAGCTAGCCAAATAGGTGGCAGAATCTTGCCAAGAAAAATAGAGCAGGAAAAATTCAAAACCAACACCTAAGCCATCACCCAAATATTTACCAGTCCCCTTGACATTATCATTTGAGTTCACAAATGGATGTCACTTTAAGGCCTCTGAGCTCTTATTTGCCTTTCTACCTTTTATGTAGCTGTAGGAAAGGGATTTAGGACATGTGTTTAATGAAACAACAGAACCACCCAGAGGCTCTGCCTTTAAAGAGCCCAAAATTCAAAGAAACAAAAAAGAAGGGATGAAACACAAAGGTTAGAAAAAAATTTCCTCACTCTTATTACACTAAAACAAACCTGAAGAAAACAGCAAGGTGTTAGGAGATGGTGGCAACTCAGGTGTTCTTTAGCAGGTGTTATCAACTACCGCAGCAGCGAAACACCCTACAACACAGCAATAGAAGATTTTCAGGAACTGAAGCCTAGGAATATTCTGACTACACACAATGGCAATTACTGATCTGCAGTCAACATGGTCACAACTCATTCCATTTAACAATTTCTTACACCCTCCCAAACAACGATTTTGAAATTAAAGAAGCAACCCATCCCTGACCAGGTAGCTCAGTTGTTTAGAGCGTTGTCATGATACACCAAGAATGTGGGTTTGATACCCAGTCAGGGCATGTACAAGAATCAACCAACAAATGCATCAATTAATGGAACAACAAATCAATGTTTCCCTTTCTCTCTCCTTCCATCTCTTTAAAAAATGAGCATCACTCACCATCAGAGAGATGCAAATTAAAACCACAATGCAATTACCACTCCACACCTGTCAGAATGGCCATTAGGAACAAATCAACAAACAAGTTCTGGTGAAGTTATAGAGAAAAGGGAACCCTAGTGCATTGTTGGTGGGAATGCAGAATGGTTCAGCCACTGTGGAATTTCCTCAGAAAAATGAAAATGGAACTGCCTTTTGACCCAGCATTTCCACTGCTGGGTTTATACCCTAAGAATCCTGAATTACCAATTCAAAAGAACCCATGCACCCCAATGTTCATAGCGGCACAATTTACAATAGCCAAATGCTGGAAGCAACCTAAGTGCCCATCAGAAAATGAGTGTATCAAAAATGATGATACATTTACACAATGGAGTACTACATAGCAGAAAGAAAGGAGCTCCTATACTTTGTGACATCATGGATGGATGTGGAGAGCATTGTGTTAAGTGAAATAAGCCAGGTGGTGAAAGACAAATACCATATGATCTTACCTGTA